ATAATGGGATCGCCTCTGTTTGCTCACTGGCGATCTATGTTCAAACTCAAGTGTCAGCAGCGACACTTTATTCCTATACAACACCTTTTGTTTGAATTAGTGTCGGATATGAACATCGGAAAAAGCGATCGGGCATATTATATAATACGTTATATATATTACATAGGCATTATTTAATCGGAGTAGACAGATTCGCCTATGGCTCTGCCTGTGCTCTTTCAATGCTTATCCCTTATTCCATGATTATGATGTGGTTTATCAATTCCTTTCTTTCATGGTCTTAACTGTATTAACGTTATGAGGATGTGATTGATCAGTGGCTGCGGCTTTTCATAAGCGGGAAACTGGTTTCAGTTTTCTGGTTGTTGCAACCCGATGGGTAGCTCGGAACCCGAAATATTTGGCTGCAATTTAAAGAGGTTGATTTGGTCAACAGTCGCATAGTATCGGGGCATTTGCTGTGCTATGGATAGATCTCCCTGCATGTTCTTCCGGTGGTCAACACTAATTTAACATTAGGCCTTATAGTCTTCGCCATCTTCCGACTGATTTGAATTGCTATAAATGATAGACATTGATATCTATTTGGGGAATTTTCTCCTTAAATTTTAAAATAATCTTCTTCTGACTGTTACAATAAAATAAAAAGTACCGGGCAACCAGTAAACGAAAAAATCAACCTCACCCTTATGCTTTCTTTCGCCAATATTCCTGATATTCTGTAGTGAAGAATCTTTTCTCTTGAAACATTCTCCAGATATCTGAGCCCTTTGCGAAGCTAATCTTAACTCTGATATCGCGAACAATGAATTCACTGTTCCAGATTATGTCCCTCATTGTCGAAAAGATTATAGGAGACATACACTCTTGTGCAAATTAATTGAAACAAAACTCATAATTCCGTTATTATTTACTTTTTTTCGTATTTTCTAATGAAACATGACCCAGTGCACGTGTTAGTACTTCGTATGTCTATTCCACGAAGTCGTTCCTTTGCAGATTGACCACAGATTCTCGATTGGATTCAAATCAGGAGACTCTCTGGACCAGTCTAAAAGTACTTTGATCACTGGTATGGCTTGCCATTTTATCCGTGTTGCGTTAAAATTTTGGTAGGCTTCCTTCGAGTAACATCCATCGCAGACAAGGCCGTAGGACAACTAATGGACAGTCAAGAAAATAGTGTCTGGTCTTGAGAAAAATCTGTTTCAATCACGAATGCCAATATCTTTCAAGGCCAAACAAATTTCATCAAACACCCTGAAAATAGATTTATATTACCGTACACCACTGCAAATGACCTAATCTGAGGAACAAAATAGAAATCTATTACATCCGCTAACTCCAGTGGATCTAAAACTGACTGCGAAAGAAAGGAAACTAAAGCGGTTATTTCAGTTAATTTGCGAAAGGATGTATGTATGGCGTTAGTGTTTACACCCGGTAAAATCTTCTAGCGGAGAAGGAATCGTCTCTTTAGTACCGGAATAGTACTTTCATGTTCTTTCGACCTTCTTTATTGTACTCTCTCAGCTATGTCTTTTTTCCTTTATAGCTCCCCTTCTTCTCAGGACTCTAACATATAAGAAAAAATATATGACAGTATTCACCTATGAACATCTTTGTCTTTGGTGATATTATGCTCATCATGATAAGATGCCGTTATTCAGACTTTCAAGTTTTTCGTTGCTCAATCTCTCAGTCAAATATTAGATTTCTCTACTCGTTACCCTAATAATTCTGATTAACATGCTTATTTAGCTGATTACCTCCTTTCCTAGCACTTGTCGAGCACAGCAACTCTGTCCTCTTGCCAATGCGGATCATGCTGTAGTATCTGCTGATAATTCTTTTGAGTCGTCTATCAAACATGATGCTTATATCCACCAAAACTTCTTTCTCTTACTACCGTATGTACTGGGATTCATTTTATGATTTTCTTCACGATGCTCTTTAAAGTGAAAATTGTGCCACTGAGGTTTTTAAGTAAAAGCCGGTATCGATGCTTTTGTTCGTTCAGGTAAATACCAGGTGAAATCACAATCTTCTTGGTTCACAACTAACGCTGTAGCCCACAGGGATAATTTTTTCGGTTTTACCAACGAAATAGCTCTGATCGCAGAAAACGCCTCTTTGTGCCCGCGCACAATAATTGCGAACAAATGAAGTACGTATAGGCTCTAACGGGTTTTTTTTCTCCTGACTACTGTCGTCTGTGTAATAGACTGAAAAGTGTAAACTTTCTATCCCTTTTTTCATTCAGTTAGAGGTGTCATCATCTTCTGCTGATTAAGCAGATGTTTTGCTTGTAAATTCTTTTCCATTTCTACTCTTGAATGCCTTTGCTTGGCCTTTCGCTTAGAACTGAGTCTCTACTATGGGATATGTGCATATAATTCAGTCCTTGCTTTCTGCTATCATTTCTAAACGTGATCATCATAAAGCATATGGACTTGATGGTATTCCTGCAATTATTCTTCAGAAATTGCTTCTCAGCTGGCTCCTGTTCTTTGTAATCTCTACAATAACTGCCTTGCCTTCTCGATTCCCTGCTTCTGAGATAGCCTCTCATGTAGTTCCAGTCTTTAAGAATCCAGGCAAACCGCTTGATTCTTCTAACTATCGGCGTATTAACCTATTACAGTTTTTCGTCATATGTCAATGTTTTAATGGTTGTTGCTGAAAGTATCTCTTAAACTTTAAATAATAATGGTGAAACTCGGGCTGTTGCATTGGATGACACGAAGTCCTTTGGTGGGTTTTGGCATATTGGTTTTATTCACGATTTGAAAGCTTATATTTCTGGAAGAATTTTTGACCCTATTCCATTTTTCTTATCAAATCACGAAAAGAATAAGTTAAACAGCTACTCTTCTCGATCTTTTTGCATTAATGCAGGTATTTCCCAAGGTTGTATCCTTGAACCTACGTCTGTCCAGTTATCATCTCGAAATCTGCGCTAATGACTCTTATATTCCGTACCTATGAACACTAATATGTATATCCCAATCCTCACAAATGCGTTGGACACTATTATAACTGGGGGATAATATACTGTCTAAGTAGTCCACTACTAACAGTGGTTTACCTACTTCACGTCGCTGGCGAGTATTGTATTTTGTTGATATGATAAAGATTAACATGCAAGTAATCATAATACCTCATCTCAGAGATACAGAGGCCGAAACGTTGTGACTATGGCAATGAAGATGAGGTGAACAGCCCGAATAATGTAAATAATGCAAGTAATCATAATACCTCATCTCAGAGATACAGAGGCCGAAACGTTGTGAATATGGCAAGGAAGATGAGGTGAACAGCCCGAATAATGTAAATAATGCAAGTATTCATAATACCTCATCTCAGAGATATGGAGTCCGAAACGTTGTGAATATGTCAATGAAGATGAGGTTAACAGTTCGAATAATGTAAAAATTGCAAGTAAATACCTCATCTCAGAGATATAGAGGCCGAAGCGTTTTGATTATGGCAATGAAGATGGGGATAACAGTCCGAATAATGTAAATAATGCACGAAATGGCTTGTTAATTTTATCGCCTTCAATACGAAACTGTAATCGTCTAAACCATTTTTTGGGGTTTTTCATTAGCGTGGCTAGGACTCGACGTCAGGCCATTGACTCTGTGCGCTTTCTGTGCGCTTTCTGTGCCAACTTTTTCTGTTGACATGTGTAGTGGAAAGATTGTATTTGAAGTAATTGCTAGGTTTACATCTAGGAAAGTTGATTCACTGTGTTGTACTAGACAATTTTTCTCTCCAGAATCTACCTTACATATTTTTCCGACTAACATTCGTCCATGCATTGAATATTGCAGTAACATCTAGTCAGGTGCTTCTGCTATGTAGTTAAAGATTCTTGACATTATCCAAAGAATAATCTGCTATTTTATTGGTCCTGTCTTGCATCTTGGCTTCAGTGACTTTTCCATCAGCGTAATGAAGCTTTTTCTATGAATATTTTCATGGTAATTGTTCTGATGAGCTTTCCACATTGGTACCTCAAAGGTGTAGTAGTAGATTGATAAATGGTGATATGCAACTGTGTTTTCTGTGCTGTTTCTTTCCGCTTATAGAACTTTCTTGCTTACCAGTCATCATTGAATTTCACTAATTTAAATACAATTCCAATCGTTATTCTTTTATTGCCCCCCTCTCCTTTATAATATTTTGATTTTCTTTTACACTCAGTCTTAGTGGCTTTATTTTCTTGTTTGAGATGAAACGACACTAAATATTCCTTAACTACTTTGATGTCATTCAGGATATTAATATAAATCGTTTATATAGATATTATATTATAATAGGTACAACACTGCGTGTGTGTGTGTATATTTGTGCATATGTAAGTGTTAGGTAATATGTGTGTGCGTGTGTATCTGCCTGTACGAATGTATGTGCTTGTGCATGTAGATGCTTATACTTCCATATGTGTGTCCGTCGGTGTATGTGTGTGTTTCCATGGGTGTATGTGCATCTCTGCCTGTGCGGTGCGTGTACATACCCGCGTATGTGAATGTGTTTGCGGCCGTGTGTTCGCCCATTCTGATGTCTGTTCGTTTCTGCTTATTTTCATGTGATCGCCTGTCCATGTACGTACACATGTGTGTATATATTTTCACGTGTGCATATGCTCGTGTGTGAGTGTTCTTTTATACGTGTATGTATGCGGTATAATTTTAATTCTCAAGTCAGTTTATCTTGGTTACGGCCACGTTACGTTGCAACACCTGTTCCCGTACAAACACCGAAGTTAAGCAACGTCGAGACTGGTCAGTACCTAAATGTGCGGATGGTGTAATGGATAATGGCTCGGAATTGTTAATCGGAGAGTCGAGTTCCCGTACGATCACCGAAGTTAAGCAACGTCGAGCCTGGTCAGTACCTAGATGGGTAACCGCTTGGGAATACCAGGTGCTGTAGGCTTGGATGTGCGGGTGGTGTAATGGATATTGTCTCGTAATTGTTAATCGGAGAGTTGTGTTCCCGTATGATCACCGAAGTTAAGCAAAGTCGAGCCTGGCCAGTGCTTAAATGGGTTACCGCTTAGGAATGACTGGTGCTGTAAGCTTAGACCCTTAGATCCTAGGTAATGGCTAGGAATTGTTAACCGAGGAGGCGAGATCGAATTCCAGTTGGGTACGTTATATGCACTTATGCGCAAATACCCTAAGGAAAAGCATGAATTCACCTCTTCTCCTCCCGGCTATGGGTTAATTAGTATTGCTTCTATCACTAAAACAATTATTAACTAAAAAAAAAATTGCGGACACAATATTTAGATTTCGGCATTAAATAACCCATATGCCACTAAAACAAAAAAATCTAATCTGTGAAAGAATCATTAATTTGCGCAAAATATTCGATGATAGCAACAGCAGGGTTTAACACTGTCCCGACGGTGTTCATTTCGAAGATGACAGCAGGCACGGTCGTCATATCACTTACGCGCTGTTAACTCTCTTTAGAACGTTGAATATTTAATTTGAGAGGAACCTGCTGACTTGTTTTGGTATTCTGTTTATAATAACAGAAATCCCAAAGTATTTGTCCAATCAAATTCTATGATGCTGGTTCCATAATTATAACATGCGGTCACATAAAGTAATGAATTTTAAAAACGATTATTCCAAACAACTGATACCAATTTGGGCGAAAGCAAGCGAATCGGGCTGCATTTGAATGCATAGCGCTGATGCATTTTGAATTGGATTTTTCTCCTTCGCAGCCCAGTTATTTGAAAAACTGTAATACAAAGCGTCGAAAGAAGCGTAATCTCAAATGTATTAACGCCGAGCTTTTCAAATATGCATATATATTTTTTCTGATGTAAACGAACACTTCTTTGCCACTTTTGTAATGCCAACGAATACACGCTGTCATTTTCGTAATGCTCGTTGTAGTAGAGACTTTGTAATCGCAGATACAACTATAGTAATGCTATTGAACAATACTGGTGTCAGACGCCTTCGAATATCACTCGCACTAATAGTAATTGTTCGATAATACTCGCTCGAATAGTAATCCGTATAGCGATCCGAATAGAAAAATAGTATAGTGAATAGAGTAGAAAACAGCGGTTCGAATATTAATAGAGGATAGAATAGAAATGAGGATCTGAATATCGGTCCGTATAATAAGAGGATAGAGTTGAAATAGTAATCCGAATAGTAATAGAGGATAGACTAGAATATAGCGATCAATTAAACATACGCTAACTCCCATATATGCGTTTCCTCTATGGTCACGTATTGTATTGTATTGATGCGGCATTCACCCTGGGCGGATTGAGCCGGCTTCTTCCTGTTCGTAGTCATGTGAGAAGAAGATTCTTGGGATAAATTACAGAAGTAGGGTACCCAGGCCTACTCGGATAACGTTCTTGCTTGCCGCGGGGTTCCCACAGACGCAGAGAAGCCGCCGGTTACCGATGCAGACGGTCCTTTGGATTTATTTAAGAGCAGGTTTGAATTCAGAGTTTTCCTTCTCCTAGACTAGTTGCCATCCAAGAACCCAGTCTGTCCTGCTATTTACCCATAGCTGGACAAGGGTGTTAGTAATGGATTCGACTGGAATTCGAACTCGGCTCTCTGATTCCTCAATCCAAGCCGCTATCCACTACTCCACCGTGCCTCCTCTCTATGGTCACGTGGTCTACTTAATTCAATAATGGGATCGCCTTTGTTTGCTCACTGGCGATCTATGTTCAAACTCAAGTGTCGGCAGCGACAGTTAGTATCCGACACGAAAAAATATAATGCGAAGTTTTTGTTTTGTTTTTTAATGTGTTATTGATAAGGGATACAAACCTGCTACCTGAATTTTACCAAAAACAAAATAATTTCCATGCCTGATGATGACAGTACGTACAGTCGAAAGTACTTGCGTATTTAAGGAAGACCTAACACAGCTTTTTTTAAATAAAAAAATCAAGTATCATAACATTCATCGAGTGATTAGCAGGTTAATGCATCTTTAAAATTTTATTTCGCGATTTTATATCATTGACTTTACTAATTTACTTTTTGTATGAATGATTCATTGTAAAGTAAAGATATAAGTTTTGTTTATGACTATGTGCCCAGTTAATATCCATTTTCTTATTCAAATAATGGTTCCATTGCTAAGGATGCAAGTAAAACGGTCAGCTCCCTGTTCCATTCGAGTAAGTACCTGACTTCTCATGCTATCAGCTATATTTAGAAGCGTCAGAACATGTAGTCCTGTAGTGATATTATGGCGAGAGCTGCATAGACCACACTCCCCAACTTCTATCAAGTGCAAAAGCTTCGAAGCATTGTGAGTGACGAATTTTTTTCCACCCTCCAGCCACTCTCCCACAGGCGGAATGTGACAAGCCACTCGCTGATCTACGAATGGAATATCATGTTTATTAGGATTTCAGGTTCGATTCCAGTCAGAGAAGCACATATTTTCTACGAAATTTCTCGAACATTCAGGCCGGTAAATGTAATCAGTACAGTTTAATTTAAAAAAGTAAAACAGGACATTTACTTAAATAAATTGTATGTATAAAAATAGCGTATAAACAGAAAATATATTACAAAATATTTGCCGGAATTAATTCATTTCATATGTTGTCATTGTTTACGTTAAAGTGCGTTTTATAAGCAGATATGATCAATCGATAAAAATTTACGAAAGTGTATGTTTATAAACAATAAATCAGACATTACTAACCAGATGCTTCTTTGTGACTGAATGGTTAACAGCACATCAGATCGAATGATGGTTCCAATTAAGGGTTACAGGTTCGATTCCTGTCGTAGAAGCACATATTTTCTACATAATTTCTCGAGCATTCAGGCCCGTAAATGTAATTAATAATGTTTAATAAAAAAAATAATAGCAAAGCATTTATTTAAATAAATTTATTTATAAAGATAACGTATAGACAGAAATATAAATATATATATATATATATATATATATATATATATATATATATATATATATATATATATATATATATATATATATATATATATATATGTGTGTGTGTGTGTGTGTGTGTGTATGTATGTATATGTATTTATGTAGGTGTAATTATTTGTATATTATATGTGCGGTACTTATTAGAAAGCGCTCAGTATCAAAGATAGAGCTAACATATTGAATCAGATATATGTATATGTGTATATATATGGATGTGTGTGTGTATGTATGTGTATGTGTGTATTTGTGTGAATATGTGAATATATGTGTATGTGTGTACATGGGTATATGTAAGTGTGTATGTGGGTATACGCCTATGTGTATGTATATACGTGTATATGTTATTGTGTATGTGTGTATTCGCTTGTGTTTTTGAACATAAAAATATACGTCCTTGCTAGATTAGATAATCGTTATATTTATTTTTTATTTCTTTATATTTAATTTGTAACCTGTAGTCGATATTAATTTTGTCAAATTTTCTCTATTACACAGCGGCCCTTTGAGTAAATGTCCTTCAATTTTAGTTTCCCCCGCCCCATCTCTCCCTCACCTCTTCTTTCCTTTCCACTCCCTTCCTCTTATTCTGATCTTTAACATTAGATCGTCTATGGTGTGTGTATGTCACCGCGAAATGTATCTTTAATGTATTAGATATGCGACAACATTCATATTTCCCCCTGCCTCTCACCTCTATAAAACCCCTTTCTGTTAAGTTTTAATCTCCCACCTTCTCTCGTCTGTTACCCCTCTCTTTAGCTCTAACATTCGTCCCGCACTCTCATACTTACACTCTCTCTAAATTCTATTTTTTTTTTTTTTTGTTGCGGAGTTGTTTTTTTCTGTTTTCTTTTTGAATTTGTAGGTCTGATGAATCGGAATAAATTACGACCATGGAATATTAGTGTTTAAGCCTTTTTATTATATCCTTACTCTGTCCTGGACATTGAGTTCTACCTGGATTCTATCCTCTTGGAAATTTTTTATTAAAAAAATATACATGTATGTGTATGCACCTATGTATATATATTTATATATTTTGCATATGTATGTGTATATTTGCCACTAATATTATATATATGTGTGTGTGTGTGTGTGTGTGTGTGTGTTCGTGAAAGTCATTTTAATCTTGTAAGACCCATTATAATATACAAATGAAAAGCTAAAAGAGAAAATAAAGTCCATTGGAGTTTAATCAAGACTTGCAAGATCCTCAAAGTTTGCAGAAATTGGAGGCTATTCTACAATGATGGTATTAATTGTTATCTGTGGTCTAGCAGAGAGTATTTTTATTACTTCAGACAAGGTCTCCTAAATAATGATTCTATGGATCTGCGATGTATGTGAGTTATTTTGCAAGAACCGGACAAGCTTGGTGCCAGATAAAAGTTCAAACAATAAATCATTGGCATTCGTGATTCGAAAATGCCAAGGAACTGCCCGTCATAAATTATTGAGTTGGAACAAAAGCTTGCATCGTTTTTCAATAGATGGCGTTAAACACGTGATTACGTTTAACACGTGACTCAAATACATGACACTTATAAATATTCTGAAAGATGAATTATCACGTCTCAACCTATATGATTCATATGTGGATTGAGAAGAATAAATATTTGCACGCTTTATTCATTTTGAATGATTTGGGACTTTACTTATAATTTCAGTTTTGAGTGGCAATAGATTTCAATTTAATTCTTCTATCAGGTCTAAATATTGTTTTATAGGTTTGTGCGACCTTACATATCAATCAACCCTCGTAAATAGGAAGTGTAATAAATTTGCTTCATTTTGACACCAGTTTCTTTATTGTATGTTATGAATAATCAAGAGAGGTCTGACCTTGTTTTATTACTCTCCTGTTTGAGAGAGCTATTTCTGTTTACTGGGACTATAAAAGGACACTATGCGTGAAGCATATATTTTCAGTTGAATAAAGCTTTCTTAGACCCTTCACCTGCATACTTTTGTCATTATATTGTATTTGGTCTAAAAACATGTTTTATAGGATTGGCGAGCTTACTTACTAATCAACCCTCACAGTTCTGAAGAGAAATAAATTTGCTTCATTTTGACACCTGTTTCTTTATTGTATGTTATTAATAATCATGAG